AGGACTCAGACAGGTTGGAAGAGACTTAGCAGCTGAAGAGGAAACCAGCAGGGGAGAGAAGCTGAACTGAGGGAGGTGAAAGGGCTCAGACAGGTTGGAAGAGACTTAGCAGCTGAAGAGGAAACCAGCAGGGGGAGAGAAGCTGAACTGAGGGAAAGGGAGCTGGGGGGATGGCTCAGAGATACTTCCAGCGAAAACAGTGGTGAGGTTTCCGGACCTCCTGTAGCGACACCCACTCCTCGCCGGAAACTGTCACGCAGAGAGTCCAGAAGACGTGTTTCCGTTAAGGAGCTTTTATGTTGGAAGCGATTACGAAAGCAACCACTGTCGGAATCTTCTAGTGACTAAGAGGAGCCATGTCAGAGGGGCTCAGTCACAGACAGAGGTTTGTGGACTTGAACAAACTCTGAGGGAATACGATTTTACGCACAAGCAGCTCATAATCCCATCACAGAAGGTTACAAAGGTTTATGGATTCCATTCTACAAAATGTGCAGGATGTTTTGCTTACAAATAAATCATAACCAGATGAAAGTATTTAACATCAAATAAGGAAGATATACTTTGGGGGTGGGAGTAAAAATAAGGAAGCAGCAAAAAACAAATACCTCCTAAATCTCCTACATCCAATACTCTTATTAACATTTATAATGCTTATAAGCCTCAGAAGAGTTTCATTTGAATAGTCTCATATTTGAATTGAATTTATAGATGGAATCTGGGGGTTGTTGTTTACATCAGTCCCACATTGAAGCACATACTAACACTTACGTGTGGTTTAAACAAATTTTATATATGTAAATAGTTCTATCAATGTTCAATTGTATTTTAATGATTTTTCTTTCTTTTTAGCGATTCTTGTTTTTATCTGTAATGACTGTTTATTTGCAGGGATACAACCAGATTAAATAAATCTTAGTCAACTCATTGACTAAATCATATGATTATATCCACCAGTTACGTTTGCATACGTTTCAAATGGCTATGAAGCCGTAAGTATATTCTCCTAATTTTCAGATGATGCACGTATGTGCAATAGCATAGCAAGTACCATCATAAAAGAGACATCTCCCATTTTATCTCACTTATGAGGCAATGACTCATGTTTGCATTGTTGTGGGCTGTCAATTAGTTCCAAACAGCAAAGGAGCCCTTTAGATAGCCATTTATTTAGCTTCTTTGATGCATGGTCACTTTTGCAAACCAAGAGAGAACTTAAGAGGATTAAGGTCTGGGAGGTGAAACTGCTTTGTTTCTCATTCTAATTCACTCCAAGATACCAGAAAGGCAGTGTTCATTACTATGGAAGAAAAACAAATATAAGCTTTCTGCATTTGACTGTGGGAAGAAGATTCAAATGACTAGGAACCACATGTGGCGGATTTAAGAGACTGCAGAGCTCGCTCTTATGGGAACAATCATGTACAGCCTGAAACTACCATTGTCACTGCAAAACACATACATGTACACATAGGAACAGGAGGGAGCCACAGCAACAAATACAGTGGTACCCCGCAAGACGAACGCCTCGCAAGACGGAAAACCCGCTAGACGAAAGGGTTTTCCGTTTTGGAGGCGCTTCGCAAAACGAATTTCCCTATGGGCTTGCTTCGCAAGACGACAGCCCATAGGGAAATCTCTGGGACCGGGGGGAAGCGCAGCGCGTCTTCCCCACTGTCCTCGGACCTCCTCCGAAGCCTGGCGGCGGGGCGGGGACACCTCCTCCCGCCGCCGCCGGGCTTCGGAAGGCTCCTCCGAAGCCGGGCGGGGGGGGAGGGACCACCTGCCGCCGCCGCCCGGCTTCGGAACGGTGCTCCGGCCGGGCGGGGGGTGGGAACACCTGCCGCCGCCGCCCGGCTCGGAACGGTGCTCCGAAGCCGGGCGGGGGGGAGGGAAGACCTCCCGCCTCTGCCCGGCTTCGGAACGGTGCTCCGAAGCCGGGCGGTGGGGAGGGAAGACCTCCCCCCGCCGCCCGGCTTCGGAACGGTGCTCCGAAGCCGGGCGGGGGGGAGGGAAGACCTCCCGCCGCCGCCCGGCTGCGGGACGGTGCTCCGGGCCGGGCGGGGAGGGAAGACCTCCCGCCGCCGCCCGGCTCGGAACGGTGCTCCGGCCGGGCGGGGGGAGGAAGACCTTCTGAAGGCGGGCGGGGGCGAAAGTCTTTGCTCCCCCTGCCTGCCTGTCCCGGAGGGCTTTTGAAGGCGGGGGAGCAAAGACTCTCGCCCCGCCCGCCTTCAGAAGAGGTCCAGGACCTCTTCTGAAGGCTGGCGGGGGCAAAGTCTTTGTCCCCCTGCCTGCCTTCCCAGGGGCTTTAAATTGCCCCGGACAGCGGAGAAGTCCTCCGCTGTCCCGGGTGATTTTAAAATGCCGCCCGCCAGCATTTTAAGATCGCCCGGACAGCGGAGAAGTCCTCCGCTGTCCCGGGTTTTTAAAATGCTGGGGGTGGGAAGAAAAGCCCTTGCCTCCCCAGCCTTCAGAAGAGGTCCGGGGACAGACTGTCCCCGGACCTGGTCTGAAGGCGGTTTACCTAGGAACGCATTAATTGATTTTCAATGCATTCCTATGGGAAACCGTGCATCGCAAGTCGAAAAACTCGCAAGACGAAGAGACTTGCGGAACGAATTAATTTCGTCTTGCGAGGCACCACTGTAAAAGACTCAAA